CGCGGCTGGAGGCCTCCGCCGTGTACGCCACGCCGGACGGCCTCACCCGCTGCAGCCGGCTGGAGCCGGTAGAAGTGACCTTCTCGGATCTGTTTATGCCCCTCCCGGTGCCCGCCTGGCCTTCGGAAAAGCGCCAGGGCCTCTTTGGTGCCCTCTGGCACCGGCTGGATCCCGGCGCCGAGGAAAAGTGTGCGGAGAGCCTCACCGTCCTGCCTCTGGCACCGGCTGGACCCCGGCACCGTGGAAAAGTGCGCGGAGAGCCTCACCGTCCTACCGGTGGCGCCGGAGGACCTGGGGGCTATGATCCGAAGCCACTTTGCCAGGTACGTCGTGGCAGAGCAAGGGGGCTCCTACGAGATCGGCATGGTCCTCCCCCCAGGCTGCCACATTCTCCTCCGGGTACGGAGCGTGGACGACGTGGCCCGCGTGGGCATCCGTACGGACAACTGGAAACTCTTGCCTTCTCTAAACAACTACCTGCAGGGTCTGGCGGAGAGCCGGTGAAAGCGTGGGGGGGGGATGCAGGAAAGATGGGTGCCCGCTAAAGCCAACAGCATCCTCTCGGCTTCTGAGCGCCTGCCTGTGTTCTGGGTAATCTTCAAATAAAAAAAAACCTTTTTTGTTTTGTTTATTTTTGCAACCTGGAAGTCACTGTGAAGCAAGATGGATGGAGAAAGGGCTTGAAGCTTGCGGTCCGTGCAGTATTTTGAAAGCGATCAAGGTAGCGCAGAGGGGAGACAGATCGATCGCCAAAGCCCTGGCTGTCGTAGAACCGTAAAATCAATTGAGTGGGAAGGGGCTTATAAGGCCATCAAATCCAACCCCCTCCTCAGGGTGGCAACCCAAATATTTTTAAATATTTTATTTTTAAGACCAAAAATATATATATACAACAACAACAAAAATACAAATAGTGCATATTACAAACTAAATTCTAACATGCACCCCATACCGGCCCCCGATCATCCTCCCGGTCGCCCTCCTCTGAACTTGATCCAGGGTGTCATCATCCTTCTTCAAGTGTCCTGTCCAGAACGGGACACAGGACTCAAGATGGGGCCAAAATAGAGGGGAACCAATACCTCCCCGAATTTGGAGACTGTTCTTCTGTTAATGCAGCCTAATTTACTCTTTTTGGCAACCCCGTCGCACTGTTGGCTCATATCCGGATTGTGATCGCACAACAATTCCGAGATCCTTCTCACTTACTGAGCCACGAATCCCCCCCCCCAATTTTGTCACTCTGCCTTTTTTTGGTTTAGGGCGAGGATGGTTAAGAACTCGTCTTAAGAGACAATACAAGGCTGCCTTTTACTGGGGCGGTGGTATAAAATAAAGACGCTAGTCCTCATGGTGTCTCAACAAAACGCTGATTCAGATAGAGGCCTTGGAAGGGCCTCGGACTAAGACAGGCCAACACGCAACCGGAAGTTGAGAGTTCGAATTCTCCCCCCCCTCCCTGGGGCTTCGGATCAGGGGTTGTTCTCGATCTATAGGGTCCCTTCCGGCTCTAAGATGTTGAGGCAAGACGTGTCCCCCGTGAGAAGTGGAAATCTGAAAAGGAAAATGTGTGTGTAGGTATTGCCACGGGGAGTGGTGATGATGGGGGGGGAGAGTAAGACTCGTTGGGTCGGAGGGCCAGGATTTCGTGATCGGCAAAGGTGGGAAAGTCACCCGGCGGATCCTGACCTCCCTCTTCCCAAGGGACAACGTATTTTCCGAGCTGTTTCCACAACAGTATTGGAGGGTGTGTGTGTGTGCGTGTGTGGGGGTCTTGATTTCAAATGTCCCATTAAAACCCATTAGCTTTGCAAAAAAAACAGCTGCAGGTGGAGGATGAAATCAGCCGGAGCCAGTATTTAAAAACAAAAAACACCAATCTGGACAGAAGAAGCAAAATATATTAAGAAGAAGCAATATATATTTGAAATATGGATGCTCCTCCATATTAAAAAAAACAATCTGGACTGAAGAAGCAAAATATATATGTAATTTTTGAGCCTGTCTTTTCTCTTTGAGCTCAGTTTTGATTTTTTTTTGGGGGGGGTTGTCCCAGTGCATCCTGCTCCTCCATGTTTAGAAAAAAAAGCAATCTGGACTGAAAAAGCAGTGTGTGTGTGTGTGTGTGTGTGTATAGGTGTATATATGTATATATATATATGTATATATATATATATGTATGTATATGTATATATATATGTTTGTGTGTATATTTATATATGTATGTATATATATGTTATGTATGTGTATATATATATGTGTATATATGTGTGTGTGTATATATATACACACACACACACACACACACACACACACACACACATA